TTAATCTTAATAAATTTTTTATTAATTTTAACTTGCTAAAACTTCTCTCGCACGAAGCAATAGAAACGGGAAGAGTTAGAAATATTCGAAGATCGGCATTGATATTTGGGTAAGACTCAATTAAACCAAAATCACGAAGAGCCTGTAGAATATTAAGCAAAAACGCAGTTTCTATATTTTGTATAAGAGTCGAACTTTCAACTTCACTTGTGAATTCGTACTTTTTTAAATCTTTGCTATATTTAATAGCGAGATCTGCAGCTGATTTTTTTTAAATCAGCAACATTCATGTATTGTAAAGAAAAGCCATAGAGAAAGCAAAAATCAGCCTTTTTTCAGTAGCATTTTAAAGATTTCGTGGGCCCCTTCGAGGCCCTACTCGGCCGCATGGTTCGTTTACCGCCGTTGAGGTATACAACACATATTGGTATCAATATAAAGCAAAAAGTTATGTCCGAATTTCTGCACGCCTTTTACAACCTCGAGACTAAGAGTTACCACGTTATCTATTTAGCAATTAAAAAAATCCCCGGGCAGATTTACTTTTCTTACAAAATGTTACCTTTACAGATTTCTAGCTCTGCACACTGTAGAAAAATCTAGAAATACAGTTTTGTATATCGTAATAATATTAGTCGTCGCCAGAGAGCTCTATAAAGTAGAGAAATATCTATAAATTTGAAAACTATAAACATAAATTTAAATTTCTCAAAAAATAAATAAACAAAATTTCAAAAGTCGCTACTTTTGGCTGATTTGTCTGCGGTCTCCGCTATCTCACTACGTCCCTCTAAAAGTCGCCACGGTTGGGAACACTGGTGAGCAGACATCTAGGGTCTAAATAAGGCAAAATGTAATCGCCAATAAAAAGGAGGAAAAATTCAAGATTTAAAACTATAATTTCTTGTAAACAGCAGTTTGGGCCCCCTTCCAAATGGGCCCTGTGCGAATGCACCTGTTGCACCTGCCTAGTTACGGTTCTGTATTTTTGTTACTAGTTATTCGCTATAGGGCCTTATAAATTGCAAGTAGCTCCGCTTGATTGTTGGAACAGTGGTTCTTCAATCTAAAATACTATTGGTAGTTGATCTCTGCGTTGCTGTCGCCAATCGCAGAGGCGGCCCTTGTTTCTTTGTCACTCCTGGACCATCAGTATAAACTTGCCACTTAACATTACAGTCCTGACTATGATCACCATCAAAATATATCCTGTAAGTGGTTTCTTCCCCTGGGTGAGGATTCGTTCTGTAGCCAGAGTAATAGCCATCCAACATGTAAGTTTTTATGTTGTTTATCAAATCCTCACAGTTCGGGGATATGTCCCTTAGAGCATAGTTCCCTGATGCCATCTGCAGACATGTGGACATCCATATTAATGATATTCCATTGCGTTCCACTCATAGGCGTTCTTTATTTTTAGGTGGATTGGAATCAAGTTGGAAATCACCATCAGAGCGTCCATGGGGGCCGTTCAGTAGGCACTACATATTCTGATGACCGCCCCTCTTTGGATTGAGAACAGCTTCCTTCTATGGACATTGTTTGCACTGCTACCCCCATATCAATAGCAGGCTCAATGGCCCTTTATAAATTAGCCCGCGGTTATTAATTCCTATTCCCATGTATTTCTGGCAATATGCTGAAGGAAGTTAGTCCTTTGTCGCATTCTCTTACACAACTCAACGATGTTGTGCTTCCAGCTGAGAGTAGGGTCAATATATACCCTCAGATATTTTAAATGCGCTACTATTTTGATCTGATGCAGGTAAAGGCAGAGTGGTCTTTGGAGCTGCTTTCTCCTACTTTGCTTGGTGCAAGCCAAAGCCTCACACTTTTTATAATTTATCGGCAGTTTGTTTCGGTAACTCTAATTCTCAACTTCTTTAATATTTCATTTGCTTTGCTCTGAAGGATGCCACTGTTCTGATGGGCCATCATAACCAGAGAGTCGTCTGCAAAACCTCACATCTTGATGTCCTGGTCTGCTGGGAAACTTTTCAGGAGGACGTCATATATCAAATTCCAGATGCCTGGTCTCTGCGCGAACCTTGAGGGCATCCACGATTAATGTTTTTCTCTATGTTGTAGTCAACCTTCCTGTTATTTAAATAGCTGCTGGCAAGACCGGATGTCGTCCGGGCACTTAATCTTGTTAATGCTGAGGATGACAGATGACCACCAGAGGTGGTCGAAGGCCTTTGTCAATGCTTATTAACACCTCATGCTTACCACCGTCCCAGGCCTTTTTTACAAAATCTTTGGCGCTATGAAGGGCTAGGAACGTTGACTTCTCTGGCCGAAAACCGTATTGGTTGGCGTGCAAGAAGTTATAACAGAATTAGATTAAAAGTCAGATTTGGTTGATTTATTAATAAACGTTATCAGTTTACTAATTCGTATAATTAAGTAATGTTACCGTTGATATTTAAGCACTTATAATTTCTGAAACTGTTTCTTATATTATATAAGACTTATTTTATATTTTCCGAATTGTTTTATAAAATGCATTATAAAAGTAAAGGATGACCGTGCTCGATATTTTAATTAAAATGAATAGTTCAAAATACTAATTAATCTTCAATTTGTACTTTTTTATAGCAAGAGTCAGCATAAAATTCTCAAGAATCTTCAATTACAAACGAATAATTTTCATTTTAATTATAGTTATTGATAGTGTAAATTAATATTTAAAAATGAGAAAACGTTTGAAATTAAATCCATATTTTTATAAATTAATGTTTCATAAACTGTGAAATGATCAAAGTTGACTTCTGATTAAAACTTAATAGTATGAAATTTTGAAGAGAATATTAAAGAAGTTTAAATAATTTTTGAGAAATTTTTTCCATATCAACAACTATTTTTGATTATTTATTGTTAAATTAATAAGCCAGGATTATTTATTGTTAAATTAAGTTTGAAATGCATGAAAAATAAAGTAGAAAGAAACTGAGATATAAAGATATCAAATTTTCTTAACTTGCACAAGAATAAATTCTAAAAAAATGGCAGAATAATGAATTAACTATTATTAAAATATTTCCTTAATAATGTCAACAACAATGTTTTATTATGAAATTAAAGTAGGTCATAAATCTTTTTAAGTACAGATTTAATAAAAAAACATTTGTTAAGTTACAAATTATTATTTAGATTTCTACGTAAATATATTGTTATGATTTATTCAATTTTTTAAGAATAAGAAGATATTTTAATGAAATTTTTACAGTGATAAATAATTGTCTGATATATAAAGTAATAAATAAGAAACTGTCTAACTGTAAGTAATAAAATATTATTGAAGGCAGTTGTTGAACTCCCGTTGAATTTAATACGATCACAAATCTAATATTCTATATTAAAGATATAATTATATTTAATCAAACAAACAGAAATTTTCTGGAATGAGTAATGTCTACTTCCTCTCAGAAACATCAATTAGATTTTATATAGAGTCATTTAGAGTTTTAAGTTGAGAATTTTTCAGATTCAATTTATTGAAAAATATTTTTGTAAATAAATATTCTTACTAAATATTTAAACAAATGTTATTTTTCTCAGAACGAAATTTAGACAAAAAAAAATTGTTTTTAAACGATTTTAATAAATGAGAATATTAAAATATCGTTTACATAAAAAACATTGTATTATTTTATGTAATATTTTATATTTATAACTCTCGTATTCCTTTCTTTAAACCCTTTCTTCCTTGTGGGGACTACAGGTCACCTTTTTTTTAAAATCAGACCCACAATGTCCAGTCGGAAGGGAAGGGACGTAGTCCGATATTTCTGAACAGACCACTCCCGAAAAATTTCTGGGAATTTCGATCCGTCTGGATTCGATTCCGAGTCCTCCAGAGCGACCGGATCTGTCCATTTAGAAAAGAAAACATTTAAAATAAATTGGAAAAAATAACGAAAATTAGAAACGGATATTATCAAATATTTTATAAGTTATTTATAAAATATTTTCTGATTACATTTTTAATTTTGTTTACTAAGAATGAAAAACAATCGCACAAAACAATGCGTTTGAAATGAAACTCGTGAATGAGTAATTTTAATTACTCATTTACGAGTTTCATTTTGCAATATCTGTCAGCTTTACAAATGGATTGAAATTAATTATTCAAAAAAAATTTCAAGTCATTCTTCTACTTCATTTAAAATAGGTTACAGCTATTGTTATTAATACACAAAATCCTCACGTGACGTCGTTTTATTATGTTGAATAACTTACTGTAATGTGTGCAGAATCACCAAGAAGGCACACATCGAAAACTTAAAAAACCTGGTGAGTTTTTATACATATTTGCACACTAACTGCGATCATATGTTGGATACAAAAACTGCGAATGATTCAGTAGTTTCAATGATTTATTGAAATTACTGCAATCATTTGTAGACACTTGTATTTTGAAATTATTCCGTTTATTAAATCCGTTCTGATGTTAAATATTTTTATTTTTGACAAATAACCACGAACAAAATAAAAGCTAGCAAAATATTGATAAAATAATAAAAATAGTTAATTTTTGTAATTATTTTCGTAAATATTATGTTATTCTGAACAAGAAAAATACTTAATCATAATTAATTAAAATAAAAACTTCATGAATAAATATATGGAATAATTAAATGTCGATTAAATATATGGATAACAATTTATGTAATGAGAATACACTAGTAGATTTTATTTGAATACATATTTTGTAAGAGTAATAAAAATATATATACAACGTAGAAATTTCCTATTGATGAAATTTCCTACGAGAGCAAGAATTGACGCAAATTGAAATTTCGGGATATAAACTAATTCACAGACTATTAATATCAAAGGTAGCAAGATATGGCCTTTAACTTGAAACACGAGAAATGGCAGCGTCGTACGATTTCGCAGCATATTAAATGTATGCATGCTTGATTGCAATGGATATATTTTCTTCACAGAAAGCTACTACCTTAGTTATGTTTGGGTGTTCCCAGAATAGTGTATTCTCTACTTAAAATCGAGTACACTCGTAAACGTAGTGATACGAGTTTGTTTTTACTAAAGAATGATTATTATTGGACACGTAGATGTGACGAATTGGATGTAACAAAAAATTATGATTTATTTAATACTCAAGTATTAATGCAAATAAATCATTTAATTTAGTAAAATGGATAAAGTCACATCAATTTCCGCTCTCCTACTTTTATTATATTCAGGTATTGTGATAAACTTATTTTATATCTTATCATTTATAGGCATTAATTAATATAGCTTGAGATACAGAAGTTATATTTTATTCAAAAATTCCTTTTACTTGCATTTTTAAAATTTATTTTAAATAGTCTATAAGCATTGTTAAGGATATTTGATAATTTATTTTTAAATTTCAAATGATTATTCTCACAGCAATTCCACTTAATGGCAACTAAATTATATCTAATACAAATTATTTTATAAGTTCTTTTATAAGTAAGGGGGTCTTCGCCCACTTGTTCAAAAATTTCGTAATGATTTACTTTTATATTTTAGCTTTCCGATGCTGCCATTTCTTTTTTTTTCTTTTCTGTGACGATTTTAATTAAGCTAAGTATAGTACTTTATATACAGTTGAATTTGTCAGTCTATCTCGAATCTCAGGAGAAAAAAATTCGAGATAGACAGGTTTCGCGATATAGAGGTTCCTATACAGTAAACAGTAATAGGTTTGATTGGAGGTACGGTATTTTATTAATACAATAGCAAGTGCAGTTCACACTTGTATTAGGTATAAATAAAACATTTTTGACGTACCATACCTTAACAACAGTTTCTGTCTGTTGCCTGACTTTCTTCAACTAATAAGTCGCAAGCCAAACTCGTAGCCTCGGCCCATTAGTGGCCGAGTGGATAAAATCAATAAATACTAGTATTTGGTACTCCTTGCCAACCGGCTGGACATGTGGATTTTTCTTCACGTTTGGGCAAATAGGGCAAAAACACCTAAATAGGGGCCGGTTTCTCATTACATCAACTTCCTCTAGAATAAAATCATGATTGGTCAGAAAAAAGAATAAAACAAAAGAGAATATCGACAAAGAGGGAGAGGAAAGTGAGCACATAAAAAAACCAGCAATTAGTTACTTAACTTTCCCGGCAATTTAAAACTGGCATGTATGGCGCCATCTGTTATGATATTTTATTATTAAAACGTTTTTATGTTTTTAATTATTATAAAATGGCAAAAAGCTTAATTTTGAGGGTAGGGACGGGTTTTATAAAAACTTATAAATGCTAATAACGAGTAAAGTAGTCATTAAGTTAGACCCTACTCGAAATATGACACACGATCCCCTTTATCTCTCCACCCTGTCAACCTGTATCCAACAAAATTTAATAGAATCAATCCCCTTAATACATAAACCTCCCTGCAAAATTTCAGAAATTTTCGACAAAAAGCACAGCAGTTATTAAGCTTCAAAGAGGGTGAACGAAATCATGCCCCCCCCACAAACAATACATAGGTACAGGAAAAAAAAACCCGAATTTTTTTGCTTTTCTCGATGTTTCAAAATCCCATGAGTCCAAAAATATAAAAATCCTAGGGGGTAGACCGATCGCCATACTTTCTCTCTATTATATAACAGCCAGAAAAGTGAAAAGACACTTTATTCGTCTAGCGAGGTATTAAATTTCTGATTGCATTAACGGATTAGCCTATATCACTTCTGATTTAATAGAAATATATCCAAATATTCATATGCGTTTAATTTCTGCTAAATTAATAATCGTAATGATATGTTGCGAGATAAGCCAATTCGGATTTTTTGCCCAGTCTGGTTATGTGCTTGTGTAGACAAGATTGTGGCTCAGGAAGCGATGCCTATTAATTAATATTTTCTTTCATTTTTTGGTGAATACAAATAACTAAAAACTGCCAATTAGTTTAAACTATTCTCGATAATACAGAAGTTTTAGTATCCCAGAGCAACGAGGAGTTCTCATGGTAAATTCGAAGTCATACCACACGTAATCACATTGGATGCTAGTCTATTAGGCGCTTACATACGATTTGATATTCGAATGTGCAAAGTAAGCCTTCTCGTTGCTATCAGATACTGAAATTTCGATATTACCGAAAGTATAAGTAATATCGGTTCTCCATTCTGCGTTCTTCGTTATGCTTAGGCTTACCACAATATTTTTTTCTCAATCCGTGACAATTTTGAGAAAATACTCACAACAGAAAATAAAATCTACTAGGACAGGTATCTATGGTTGAAAAGATTCAAGAAAGAAGTTGTTAATAAAAACAACGATGTTTTTTCTGTCACAACTAGGTGCATAGACAGACACTGAGCATTTTTGACATCAGTATTTATTCAGGAATATCTTGTGGGCCGAGACGCGTTTCGGGCATACGCCCCTCTTCTGTCGGCTACATAATAAAACATAAATATGAATTTTTCTCGGTCCACAAGATATTCCTGAATAAAGATTGATATCAAAAATGCCTAGTGTCTGTCTATGCCTCTAGTTGTGACGAAAAAGCAAATAAAAGAAGACACGATTTCAGAATAAGCAACAAAAAAATAACGAGTTGAAGCAATTTTTAAGAACTCAAGTGAACATACGTTATTATTAAGAAGTTATAAAATCACTAGTGTAAACTTTATTTAAAAATTCTATGTTATTTTTAATGGAATCGAAATTTAATTCAATTTAAATCGGTACCTTTAAAATATGACAATATATTTGAGGAAGTTCCTTCCGCTGCTACTAGGCTTGCCTTATGTTTCTCACATTTCAAGTGATTTTAATATCCGAACGCCTACCACGAGTTATTGAAATTCTGAAAAGCACAGTTCACATTTCACTTTGTCAATACGATTACAAACTTTTTTAAAATACGGATAATCCTTTTTTAATTCATCAGTAAACATACGGATTCTTTTTGGCATTTTGGAGATTAAATTAATTTAATGTACTGTACAGTACAAAATAATCGCAAATGCCGACGAGCAATTCGAACTCGACTAAGATAGGACATGCGCAATAATGACATACCAGAATAAGTTTCAATGTTGCCAACTCTAATTGAAACAAAATATCTAAAAAATGAAATAAAAACATCTGGATCTCATAGGCTACATGCTATTATAAATTTTGTAAAAAATATCTAGATGAAAAAATAAAACATCTAAATTCATTAGGCCACATGGTATAAATTTTTGGTAAAACATCTAGACGACATTAAAAGTAGGATAAGGTGGTGCAAGATGGGGTAAGACGAGGACGTTTGTTTATTCATGGTTAACGCACTTTCATCTAGCTGTTATTTGGGGAACTAAATGTCAACCTCAAAGGGGATCGCGGGACAAGAGAACGTCCGAAACTCTCTTTGTTTGGAAGTAAGACAGTTTTCCACGTTTCGGCAATACTTCATTTAATTTTACGCCCGCTACAAATTTCTACAAAGTAAGCATCATTGCGAACTTTTACGTTACCTTTTAGATAAAGATATTATGGTATTCGAAGTAACATTTAAGACTGAAATTGTTTAGTTTTGAAATAAAGTTGACCCGTGTTTGCAGTCAGTACGAAAAGTGCACGTTGGGGCAAGATGGTGGGGGCAAGACGGGGTACCCCATCTTGCTCAAGGTTGACCATGAATTCTACTGCTGGCTAGAGGCACTGCAATATAGTGCACTGAACTAGTTTTAAATTCGTTGTCTATATCATTTTTTCGAATATATAAAATAATAATTTTAAAAATGATATTTTTATAGAAAATGAAATATTCCACTTTTAAATCATATCTAACTGTAATAAATTTATACAGTATATACAGTACTGTATTACTTTATTATTTATGTTTTTACGTTTTATTTTATTTATGAAAACATTTTTTAAATTTAAATACTACCTTAACAAGAAATAAAATGTGAGATAATAATCGAAATAAAAATTTTTTTCCACGAAAAAACATATCGTCTGCTTACAAAATAGCGAAACTGAGCGTGCGCGAAGTGATTGTATCGTCTGGTAAAGTAAATACGAGTAAGTTCAAACTTTTATATTTATTTATTCGGAAAATAATAAAAAATGTAGCCGCTGTGACAAATGGGCATATTGTTCTTGTGCCAATATTGAAGAAAACGATAGTTTAACCATTTTAATTTCTCCTTCTTGTATATAAAAGTAATATTCCCATCTTACCCCACGGGTGGGGCGAAATAGTGCAATTACATATAATTTTAAAATATTAAATTTTCTTGTTTTTAAAAACGTTTTTCAAAAATTAAATTTTGTATTATATATTACCAAATGTTGTAGTTGCTGAGAATAAAAAAATTATTGTTCTCATCTGGTTGCCATCTTATGACTTTTCAAACCTTAACGTCTTCATCCTGTCCCACCTTCCCCTATTTAGATCTGGATACAAAATATTTAGGTTGGCAACAGCGAGTGTAACGGAGGGAATATTTTAGTTGGCAAATAGCCATTTTACCCAAGACTGCACTATTTTTATTCTTGTATATTCGGCACTTTTAAAATTTTACCAAACAACCGGGACAAAATGACAAACTAGCCAGGACGCAAGGACCACATCAAACCGGAACAGTCCCGATCAAAGCGGGACGTCTGGTAAGCCTAGTTATGCTAATGAATGCAACAAAGACCAGTTTCTATCGGAATCGCGTGACTGAAATTAACTCAACCGTTGATATGCTAGTCAGTGATGTATTATACGGTAAAGTTTTCGATTTCGATAACGACACGCAATAAGTAAGCTAAACTTTTATTTTTGGTCTTCTCCATACTATCAAAAAAGGCTTAACGAAAGTAAATATTGATGCAATGTAGTGGCTTTAGAGATGTAACGTTAACAAAGCCAAAATGATAGAACTTGATATCACGAATTCCAGTTCTCTATTGTGATACAATACTTTTCAAGTTGACGACTGGATGACCGAGAGGTCAAGGTGATAGCTTACCGCTCTGGGGGACTGTGGATCGAATCTGGATGGGTTAAATAATCCCCAGTAATTTTTCGGGGGGATGGTCCGTCCGGTTGTGTCGGGCCCCGTCCCTCATTACCCGTTCACCCCATCGTAGGCTTGGCCGTACTCATAATGGGTTTGCAAAAAAGAGGTTCTCTTACTGCCCACAGAGCGGAAAGAGTTAATATAATTTTTACTTAGATTTAAGTTTTTAAATAGGAGTCATATCATAAATACGTAGAGAGATTTCTAAATATGATAAATAGAAATCTGAATAAAGTGTTTAAGGAAAATTGTCTTTAACTGATAAATTTTCAATTTAATAGGAACAATTAAATCGCAGTTTATAAATAATCCAAATATCGAAAATGGAAATTTCAGAATTCAGCCGTGCACATTAGGAGATATTAAAACTTCAGTAATTAACTTCAATACATGTCTCTATAAAGAATATCAGTTACGAAGATTAAAACAGGAATTCATAACTACAGAAAGGTAATTGATAGTTTTTACATATTGCATTTTCACAATGAGTTTAGCTTTATATTATTTTCCATAGGAAATTTGATACTGTTTCTTTATTAATAATTTCATATTTTTAATAATAATCATTTTTATCTTTAGAGTAAATATTATATTCTTATGGCATTTTTTATTACTTTAATCTAATTTATGCATTTTATAAATAAAAATTTAGTTTTATTGATTAAGGATAATGTTATTTCCAAATAAAAAAAAACTATTTTAACTTTAAAAAATTTTCCATATTTTTTTCTAAGATTTCCCAGAATTTTTTGACGAACAAAATGATCACTGCTTTCAAATAAAATATTAAGCAAATTTACAAATTTTTAACTTAATTTCAATTTTTTTTCTTTAGTGATACGTTGGCTACGAGCCAAAAACTGAAGCATTATCCTCAAACATATAACATTTCTCCTACAATTATTTCCGCTTTTTGCTAGCTTAAGTACTTAACGAAAAAGCATTTGAAAACTTCATCGTTTTAAAATTAATTTCTTCTAGTTTTCACGTTAATTTTAATTTTGAAATTTTAACGTAAGTGATGTTTGGAGTTATTTTAAAAAAGTCCTGTAGACTTAAAAAAGTATCAATATTTTCTCAGCGACTTGGAAGGAATTATATGGGATTATAGTGAATTAATTAATTAATATATATATTTTTAAACTCAACAAAAACAAATAACATGTATCGAATGACAGTTACAATTTGACACAAATGAAAAAATACAAACAACATACTGTAGAGTAAAAGAGGGTAAATTCGGACGGTGTAGAATATGGACACTCTAAGGATGGTTTTTTTTTTCGAATTGCAAATCTGTAAAGAAAGATAACATAAAGAACTACGTTCAGGCAGTATATCAATCTCACTTATGACTTATACACATTTGGAAATTATATGTAATATGTAAATAGGTACCAATTTCCCATAGAAAGTCCTTCGGAAGTCATCCCTCTCAGCAAATTGCCCATGTGTTGCATTATCGTATCCCATCAATGCAATCAAGCCATATGCAAATTGTAATATTATATTAGAATGCTTAAAATTTCTTACAAATTAACAAATAAAAAATAAATAAAATACTAATTTAAAATGTTGCACGTTATTATCCTTGGTACATTTCAATCCAGTATAAGAGATATACAGTAAATGCTTCCAGCTAAAAATAGTTTATACTTTATACTAAAATATATTGAATTTACAATTGAAATAATGCAATTTAGATAAAATAAAAGCATTTTAGCATTACCATAATTTTATTAAACTAATTTAATTATAAAACAAATGTGATAACCTCGGGTTTAATAAATATAGTTTCATAATTCAGATCGTTATAAGTAAATATTTTTATATAGTCTTCCTATTTGAAATGAGTTATGTAATTTTACTGCGGATGGCCGAGGCGGTTAAAAGTCAGCCTATCGCTCCGGGATACTCATGATTGAGTCCGGACGAGAAACCCAAAAATTTTTCGTGGGCGGTATTTCCTGGATATGTTGGATCCCTAACCATCCGGTTGTCTCCATTGTGGGCCCAGCCTCACATTGATATGATTAAAAAGACCTTCTTAGTAATCTTAAGCTAAAAGAGACAAAAATATGAAATATACGGTATATCCTATATACGCAGATCAGCAATTTTCAAAGTATAGAATTTTTTAAAATATATATATATAAGTACAGAAATCATAATTAAAGAATAGGTGATCAAAGCCTTCTTGTCATTGGGCAACTGTTTGGCAAATCTCAACCAAATTTAGTATGCGTTTTCGATTTTCGTTTTCGATTTTCAAAATTCATCCTCTAAGGCGAAGTTTGGCACTGATGTCTTTTAATATGCCTATTAAGTATTCTAATGAATTTCGGATATAATAAGAGTCGAAAACGTTCTTCACAATTTTTCACAATTAAATCGACATGGTTCTCATTTTGCTGATTGTGCAATCTTGTCAATTCCACGTTGTAATTTTGTAACTGAAATAAATGATTGCCTTTTGTTTCTTAACCCCAAAAATTATTAGAAATTGTATGCTCGTTAAGGAAACAGTAACGCAAAATTTCCCTTTGGGGCTGAATTTTAAATGTTTAAGAAAACTTTTTCGAAAATAAAAACCACATATTCAGAGCAGAGTGTAACTTATAACAAATTTGATTGAGATTTGCCCAATAGTTGCCCAACACAGAGCTCTAGTCCTTAATTATAACAACCCTGAACTTTTTAAATTCGAAAAACCTTTCAGTTACAAACCTAGAACTGAATTTAACAGAATTATTCCTAATTAATTTTCTATATACTGTATGTTACGTTATGTAACATAAGCAAAAAATATACAATAATTGCTGTAAATTATGCATATGTTATATATTTTTTTAATTTTATTGTCTTAACTATATATATATATATATTTTATAAATTTTTAAAATATTTCGTACATTAATGCATTAACATATAACACATTATTTCATCATGATTTTTTATTTTTTGTTAGTTTTTGGTTTTAACCATATTTCATTGTTGAGAGTTGTTGTTAATTGGAAGTGGATATTTTTCGTCGACTGACTGTTCCTAATTATGTATAAAGTAAATAAATAAATAAATAAACTTACAAGTTAAACATTTACCACACGTTATTTGAATAGAGCTTACAAATTCAAAAATCAAAACTGGTCTCATAAGGATATTAATCTAATCTAGTTTAAAAAATGCAGACATTTATTCCATTTAGCCATTTCAAACATTAATCCTAATTTTCTCGCAGAACACGACAGTGTCTGAACATCAATTAATTTAATTTAAGTGCCAGCTGCTTCTTTATAAGGATGTTTATTATTATTAATTTGCTTCGTAAATTAAATTCTTTTCTTTCGTCTTATTCTTCATTAAATTTTTATTACTTATAGTTATTTAAGATATATAACAATTATTGTTTATATAAAGAAGTATTATGTGCATTGCGATACAGAGAAGGCAAGCGTGTCTGGTAATTTATGTAAAATAAATTTATTTTTTAGTATTGCAGGTAACCTAAGAAACTGCTTTATTGAATTTTGCCAATTAAGATGCCAAATCAAGCAATGGATCGTCTTTGAATACGCTTTAAAAAATATGTTACCAGCTATCAGGAGTTTCTCCGATAATAGTTATCAAAGAACATTAAATGGTACAGAAAGAATTTAATTTATAATTATAAATTTACTTAAGGTGCTATTAATTGGCGCTTTATCCCGTAATAAATTGTTTTACTTTTTTCCTCTTTACCCAGATAATCGTCGCTACGAACTGCAGAGATGTCTGAATCAAATTAATTATTCCAATATACAACCATGCTTGCCCCCTCTTTACAGTTATATTTCTCAAAATACGTATAGTAAAGATACAAGTTCAATGTAAGTATTATTTTTAAAACGAATTGAAAAATTCATATCTAAAGTCCGTAGTTCACTTTCGAATAAAAATGATTAATTTTCTCTAATCTCGTTATTTTAGTTAAAAAGATCATCAAAGGAAATATATTCTTTAAAATATTAATTTTAATTTATTATGAATTTACCTTTATAATTTCTGGAAAGTAAAAAATTGGATAAAGAATAGTAATATAGAAATTGTATGAGTAAAGAGATAGGCACGAGAGACTATTAGACGCAATATAAATATTTTTAGCCTAAAAAGAAACCGAATACAGTTTTCCTGTCAATTACAATTGTATATACAGTAGACCCCCTATAACGCGAAGATACGTTCCCCGTTATACGAATTTCGCGTTGTTGGAATTCTTGGGCTGTGATTGGCTCACGTATTTGACACGTGTGAAGTTTACGGACTATGGCTGTTTGAAAGGTTTTCTTCCATAAAATTAATCGATTCTAGACTAATTCGACTTAACATTTCCAAAATACATATATTTGTTTTTTGGAAATAATCCGTATAAACTGCGCTATAAACAAACAATTGTAGGATTACTTACCGAGTGTGCACCATTCGACATCGCCGTTGCTCAAGCTTGTTTTCGTCGCGGAACAGCTCAGCAAACCGCGGCCGCGATTTCTGATGTTATTTTTCTACGAAAACTTCGCTGAACTTTGGAGATATCATTAATATAAATAATTTTTATCGCCGTTGAATAAGAAATGTTACTTTCACAAGAAATGTATAAAATTACAGTACTGTATTAGACTTATGGTACCAAATTTACATACTGTACAGACGATAGTTCGCCTAAACTCTCCGTAGCGTGGNACGGCGAAAAGTATATATTTAATTATAATAAAGTTACAATAAATTAAGTTAATATATAATTATATATACAGTACCTAATTTATATATAATTAATATATAATTATATGTACAGTACCTAATTTATATATAATACTGTACAGACGATAGTTAAACTCAACTTACTGGCCTAAACTCTCCGTAGCGTGGCGCTAGACGGCGGAAAATAGTTCGGCTGCTCGTCCGCGATGACATTTTACCGCGTTTTACGCGCCCCGTTATACGAATACTGCCGCAATTTTTTCGCTGCGTCATAGGAATCTACGTTATTGGAACCCGCGTTATAGGGGGGTCTACTGTATTCTTACTGAATACAATATATATAATTGTATAACTTAAAAGTAGGAAAATATATTTTCATTTATTAATTTAAAAAATATTGTTTATACTTGATGAAAAATAAATGATTATTTTATAATTTAAAATTATAAAACAAAATTACTCATTATTTTCTTAAAATAAACAATAATATATTTTTATTTTATTTTTTATAGTTACTTCAGTCATGCTCGGGCATGCATAACTATGGTGTACAAATCTTGTCCTTCTTTATTGAAGAATATTATTATAGAATTGGTGATGTCAATTGGTCAGACTCAATTGTATCCAGATCCTTTTTATTACAATCCAGTCTATATAAACCAACAAATTTCTAGCAATTTAGGAAATTTTTTCGGTATATCGTCATCATTTCTCTATAATTTCTTCCATGAAAAAGCGACTTCCCTAAGACAACAAGAAATATTTTTCAGACTTCTGGAGAGATTAGCATTTGGATTATTTAAAAACTTTAATAATTCTCCTCATCCACCTATTTCTTTTACGAGAAATTTGAATGATACATCTCTAACGAGAAAATCTATTTTATTTCCACCATCATTTTATAAACTATTATATCAGTATGTAAAATCTAAATGGCCTAATCATTTTACACCTACTCACGAGGAAATAATTTTCAATCATCCTATGAAAACAGCTTTAGAAAATTGGTTATCGACAATGAAAACTACCTCTTCAACAATGAATCATGATAAAATATTGGATATTTATAGTAAGAATAAAATTTCTATTACAACGAAAGGTAAGAATTATTATTATACTTTATTTTATTTTAAAATTCTGATGTCCAAATTTGAAGCAATATTTAAAATAACTTTTATTATATGACAAAGATTTTCCATTCTCACCTTTTAACAACTTTTTGCTTTATTGTACAATTTATAAAGGATATATTGGTGCCGTTTAGTAGTTCTTCTCAGAAACCATTACAGATAGGAAGATGGAGCAGATGACCAAGTTCGTAGAGCAAACGGGAACAATTTTAATAACGTTGGGTGACCTTGAAAATCAGATGTTTTTGAAATACAGAACAAAATAGATATTTTTTTAATTATAAGGGCGCTTTTGCGCTATCACATGGATAGGCCAAGCATGAGACAAAATAAGCATCTTTTATAATAGGTCACATTTTCTTAAACCTAAGGGTTTTTAAGCTATCGCTAGCTTCTTCTAAAAATCTTTTTCTCTCTTTTACCCCGAAAGCTTCTATGCTGGAAACTAAATTTATCAGTTTTCGTTCTTTATGTTATCGTATCAGAGAATTGAACAAACAGGCTTTGAATAAATTGAACTGTTAGTTTTATAAAGGCATGAAGAAGTGATCTTTTTTTCATTTTTGTGTATTTACTTATTTTCTCTGTTTTCATGAAAACGACTTATTCAAATGAAGAAGTATTTGATACGTTGATAGCTTTAGATGCATATCACCAAAATTATTCCCAGGCTGCAAATCTTTATACCAGTCTTCATGGAGAACAGTTAAGAAAATGGTTTACTTTCAGCGTTTTTCTACAGAAAACATTAAAGTCAGAGTTCAGGAAAGTTTTCGTAAGATTAGCAGATGTGAATTTCGAGATGTATTAAATGCTTTTCCTAGAAGAATAAATCCCTGTATACGCGAAGAAGATCGGTATTTTCAACATCTAACTTAAGTAAATTTTGAAATATACTTCATTATTATTAGGTTTCTGTTGTGTAAAGCTTTGTGATAAATAATCTGATAAACTTAGTTTCCAGAATAGAAACTTCCGAGAAAAAGAGAAATCAGATTTTTGGAGAAACTGGCGATATATTGAAAACCGTTAGGTTTAAATAAACGTGAACTGCTATAAAACACGTTTATTCTGTTGCTTACTATAATATAAATGGCTCAAAAGCGTTTTTATAATCTAAAAAACAAAATAACATATTTTGTTCTGTATCTCAAAAACCGCAGATTTTCAAGATTATCGAAGGTCACTTATAGTTGCCCTCCTGTTTGCTCTATAAACTTGGTTATTACTCCCATCTTCCCATCTCTACCAGTTTCCGAAGAAAAAATTCTTAATACCAGCAGTGCACAGTTAATAACTACGTTTGTATCCGTAAAATTAAACCCGGAAAATTTGCTGAAAATTCGTAGTCAAAAAGAATATTAATATAAAAGTAGTATATCACACAACATTTTCAAGTAAATTCTTCAAATANAACTACGTTTGTATCCGTAAAATTAAACCCGGAAAATTTGCTGAAAATTCGTAGTCAAAAAGAATATTAATATAAAAGTAGTATATCACACAACATTTTCAAGTAAATTCTTCAAATAAAAAAAATTTAATCAGAAAGTAACTTATCAGGTTAAAAAATTTTGAGGTTATTGACTCAACACTCGTGCAACTGACAATTTATATAAAAACTTTCTGATTTCTATCTCTTATTCTATACTTCACATTTTTCACAATTAACAACTATTTAAAATTCAAACAGAAAACGAAGAAACTGAAGAATCGATGATAATTCAAAAAGATGCAATAAAAAGAAATAAAGAAATGGACCAATCAGTGATTACTCGAACATCAGAAACACAAAGAGAAGAGAAGCGGGCGGAAGAACTTACAACAACGGCAGTAGAATCTACAACAGAAGGAGAAGAAATGGCAGAACCAGTAATTACTGAAACTGCAGAAACACAAAAAGAAGAGAAGCGCGCAGAAGAACTTACAACAACGGCAACAGAATCTACAACAGAAGGAGAAGAAATGGCAGAACCAGTAATTACTGAAACTGCAGAAACACAAAAAGAAGAGAAGCGCGCAGAAGAACTTACAACAACGGCA